AATATCAATATGAAGCACCAGATAAAGCAATGCAACCAGGAATTCCGAATACAAATTACCCACAAGAATGGAACTGAAAAAAGAAATTAAAAGAAATTCCCTTATTCAAGGCATTTAAAGAAATCCCATTTATAAAAGTTAGCTGATTTTGGAATCCCCAATTTAAAAATAAATTTCCCCCTTTTACTAAAAACAAGAACATATTCTTAAATGCTCAGCATAATTAAGTTTTAAAAGAAAAAAACCCAAGGATTTCAACTGCAAAACTTTCTAATACCAACAATCCAAAGGACAAGGAAACAGAAATTTTGAGTAGTTTTTGAAGAGGTGTTATTTATGAAATTACTATATTAAAATTTACACACTCTTAAAATATATATTATATATACAATATATAATATATATATTTTTTCAAGCAAAAAGGGGCAAAGAATACTTTTGGGATAAAAAATTCATATACATACATATATATTAAAACATGCCCACATGCACTCATATATATATATATGTATGTATATATATATTTATGAACAAATATTTCTTCCATATTAAAAAAAAAGGTCCAACCTCTTCTAAATCCCTGAAATCTTCCCCTTAAATTTATGGAAAAAAAATCTGTATAGTCTGAAGTAAAAACCAAATTCTCAAATTCTGTAGAGTGGTAAAATGCTTATGTACAGGTAAGTTGAGTATTTCATTTCTCACTGGCAACTCTGCTTGATCTGAAAGCATTCTGTGGTTTCCAGGTAAATTCTGAGTGGAGCACCAATGCAAGGAGACTTACAGGAAATTATTTGAATTACATTCTACACCTACTCAAAATCACCATCCTTCTAACACTGCATCCAGGTGAGTAAGAAAATCCATCCAAATGTCTACCAGAAATTCTCTGCAACACAGCAGGGAAAAAGACTTGCTCCTTCTTTTGAAGTTGAGGGTGCCCTTACGAAATTCCTCCCCAGTGTTTTTTGAAAAGTATTTTTTGTGTATTCTTTGCTTGAAGTCTTTGTAATCCACATGACTGTTTACAGAATATTTCCACAGGTGTATTTTTATAGAGGTATTTAAAATTCTGTTCTGTACTTCTTTGATGTTATCTTACTGCATAACTAAATCACAATCACATCTTTGTGCTGGCTGGAGGGCTCTGATTGTGCTCCAGGTCTTACAGGAGTTTTAGCAGAACCAGCACCACCTCTGCAAAATCAGAGTAAAACTGATGGTCTAGTCATGCAGTAAAGTCCTGTTTGTACTGAGAAACAGTCAATTTAGAGAAAGGGGGAAAAGAAAGTGCATTACAAGGTCTGACTCAGTTTCAACTGTATCCCTCAGAAAACTTAAAATTGATTTAAATAAAAACAGGATCATTTATTTTATATTTACATAAGGATTTGTTATTACAAAAAAAAAGAAATTAATTTAGATGGGAATCTCAGCACAAGAATTCAGAACCAGATACATTTTATTTCAGCAGCAAATACACATTAAAATTAAGGACCTACAGTACGAAGCTACTGAATACATTCTGCAGGTAGCTGAACCCTAACACACATATTTTATTTAAATAATATATTTTTCTCTATAACATGTAGGAATTCTCTTGTATTAACACATCAAGATGATCCATTCACACTTTGTGGGTAGGATGTGTGGAGCATAAAAGATTTAAGGTGGAACATTTTTGTAAATGCTACCTGCACTCTTCTCTGTGGGGCAACAACATGGTATCCTGCCTGGAGTAACTGAATTCATCAGTCTGAACACTGAAGTGAGACCAGGCTTCTGTATTTGGACATTCCAGGGGCTCCAGAAGAAAATTCTGGATTCCCTCATTCCTACAAATTTATAGGCAAGCTTTTACCAGTAGAGTCTCTTCATATTCACCTGGTTATGCATATTGACTGGATCAGATCTGAGGCTTGACAGACAATTAGTAATTCCCATTTAAGAAATACAAAACGAACCCACTTTCCATGTCACCTCAGGAGCAGTTCTTGTAGCACTCCTGTTGGAACAGAGGTTTGCACTTCCCACCACAGCCCAGGGTGCTGTGCAGCAGGAGCAGCACGTTCCCCCCTCCCCACTGCTCCCAGACAGACCCCCCTGGCCAGCACAGCACTGAGTGTCTGCAGAGATTGTCAGAGCAAGAGGCTTCTCCTGTGCCTGCTCAGGCTGCAACAACTGCCTTGGTATCCACTGGTATTCTCCCTGTTCCAGATCCCAAATTTGAAAGCCCACAGTTTTGTTACTTCAGGTTTATGCTGTACTACAAGCAACTTAAAGGAACCCGTTCACACAAATCTTATGGAATAGATCAACCCAGTATCATGCAAAGTACAGCATTTAATTTTGTAAGTCTTTTGCATCTTTACACGGGCAGTATTATTTCTAGGGGTATTATGAAAAGAATAAGATTTCCACCCACTGACCAGCTACATTTCAGGTTTTTGACAAGGCACTAAATATTGTGAATCCAATCACTGTGCTCTCTCTGTAATATTAGAGAGGGTTTTAATGGCTCTAAAAGGATCAGAAACCACTCAATCATAATTCAAACAAGCATTTGATTTTTCCAGAAATTAGTTTCCACTGGAAAAATCCTTAGAGTTCATGTTAAAAATATTTGAATGACAGCTTTTATTAATAGAAAAATATATATTTACAGTCAATACTGTTATCTTAGATTTGCAGCTCTTCCTATTTCTTGAGCTCAACTGAAAGTGCGACATTGCTAAAAAAAATTCAAGACCTGTGCACATATTCAAGTACGTTCTAACGTGCACAGCCAGGGGTTTTGTTCCTGCCATACACAGGATCCTGTTACAAACAGAGCGGGTTTTTTTCCTTTTGCTTAGCAATTATGCTGTAGCATTCTTAGGATTTGTTTACAATCAGTTTAATGCATACATTCTCGTGTATTTACGTGGCACAATCTGGTGCCAGGATGGAGAACCACCACAAACACAGTTGCAATCATCAGTTATGGGCAGATCTGCAAAGTCAGCCTCAAGCTCCTCAGGGAAGAACTCAGGCCAGATCAGGTTCGATTACATTGGCCATTCTTTCTTTTTTAAAGAAAAAAACCACACAACATTAAAAATTGCTAAAGTTTACCCAGTGCTGCACAAGAAAGAGGTTGGTAGTGAACATCTATCCATGCTTGGTTATACTGCAGAGCTAAAATGAGTATTGGTGCATCACAAAAGATACAAACTGAAGTTAGATAGCTAGAGATACAAAGGCCTTGGACCAGCTGCATTAATACCTACGCTTGTACAACATTCAAAATCCAACTCTGCATGTGCGTGTTGACATCACAGTGACAGTGGGAACACGTGTCCCTAAACATGGCAACACCCAGAGGATCCAGGGACTGACTGCCCCACTGCAATGCCAAGTGGTCCAAGAGTTACTCCTATGCCTATGTGAGCTAGCTGGGAAGTCAGGTGCACACACACACACACACCACGGAACAGACACAAAACCAGACCACAGAGAACAAGAAGCCCCACTGGCAGCTCAGCACACTGGCACTAATAGCTAGAGTAGGTAGTACACAAGTGACTTGCCATGCTCGGTGGATGTGAACTATGGGAGCATTGCCCTCCTGTGTCCAGATGAAGCAGGGCTGCACTGAACAGGAGATTCTTTGTAAAGGTTCTTCTACAAGCTGCTCAGCAGTAGTGCAGAAACTTTCTTTCCTGATGTAGAGGAAGTATTTCAACTACATACATTGCACTTGGGCTTTTAATGCACTGTCCTGTTTTTCTGCATCAATGCCACCATCCTAACCTTCTTGCCAAAAAGAGAAAGAAAAACATACATATCACATTAAAATATATTATCCTCATCCTTGCCTGATCCTTCACTGATACAGGTGAATCAAACAAAAGAACAATCAGAAGTTTCAAAACAATCTTCAGAAAGGTAACGAAGACAGTCTATACTAGGGCACAATCAATGTAGGCTTCCACAGGCCATTGAGCTGAGCTCTGAGAGGTGCCAGAGAAGAATCACAGACACGTCAGCCCTCGATGAGCGCTGTGCATCCAGAGCTACTCTTGGTGACTTTAAGCCTGCAGGACTGTTTGTTCAGTTTCCATGCATGTGGTCCAAGAATGCATATGTTGTATAAAGTGGCTATTTGTTTCAAGGCTGAAGTGAATTGATTCCTCACAGTTTTAACAATTACAATGGAACATCAATCCATAAAAAGAACACATGGATATCTGTGCATTTATGTGCCAGGAAAGTAAAGGAAGGGGCTGCAGATCTAGCATCAGGTAAAGGCTGGTGTGTAAAGTGAACACTGTAATGTACAGCTTTAAAAAATAATACAAGAATTGCACATAGATCCATAGGAGAGAAGCACAGGCTCATAACTACGGCTGTCTGCTTTCCATCACCCGGGTCAGAATATTCAGGATTGCTTTTCCCTCTGCATCCAGATCCATTCTTCAGAGCAACCTGGAAAACAACTCCTAGCCTACCAATACTGAGCAAAGATATTGTCTGTACAGAGGTTCCATGGGAAACGGCTCTTAGGGCACAGAAGGAAGTCAGCAGTGGCCTCGAAAAGTGAAAAAGCTCCTTCAAGTTGAGGTTTTAAAAATTCTGACTCTTCAATCCTCACTAATTCCTGCTCTAGTCCAAAACTTTGTCTGTGATGCTCTTTGAGCTCTTCTGACAACATTCCATTTCTAGGGTGTTGTCTATAGCAACATTAGAAAACACTGGTTACAACAGGCAAGAGATGGGCAGCCAAGCACTGCTGCAGGAAATGTGGATCATGATGCTGTTGGTCGTGGCTGCCAAACTTAGCAGCTCCCTCAATAATAAAACAACAGTGTTTTTGCACCCTTGTTCTTACCCTTCAGAGAACTGTGTCTGCAGTGAAAGTATCTCCATGTTGCCTGTTAGCTACACAGACAAGCTCTAAACATTTCTATCTCCTGCCAACAAACCTGCAGAGCCAATTTCAGTCTCACTTTGCAGTATGGCATAAGTGACAAGAGCAGACCAAACCAAAACAGAAGAGGTGGCTTTTATTTTCATCCCTGATTCATAGCAGTGATTGTCAGAGAAGGTTATGTATGTCCCATCCATTTCAAGTCAGGCTTTAGTGCTTTTTGCAATGGAAGGGGAATTTCAAGGGTCTACCATGTGTTGTATTGTTCTTGTATAAATGTGGTTATGCCTACAGTACATCAACAGTTCAGACTGGTGAAAGTTGCCTAGGAAATAGGATAGATAAAGTGTGCATATGCTGCTTTTTAATGCACAGGTCTCAAGCTAAGGGTGATGGTGTGATTAAGGCAGTATTGATGAAATTGTGAATGGTTAGAAAGGATATGGGTAGGCAATGAGGCAGAGGGAAGAGGACTGAACACAGGTGCTTACTGCTCACTGACACTTGCCATGCTCAGTGGGAAAACCACATCTGGGGAGGAAAGTACAGGTGGTGTAAAGTGTAAGAGAAAGATCAGAACCTGTTTGGTTGAGACCAAAGGAGAGAGGAGCACAGCCTGCTTGTGGGGGACTGACTAAGCTGAGAGGAAACGTGTGGTATGTGGAGTGAAAGCAAATGAGTGTTTTGTGGCATGGTGGATAATTCATCTCACATTCACCACGAATCCATCTCTGCTTATGGTCACTGCTATTCACTAATCAATGCTATGTAGGAAATGACAGAAACTACCCAGAAGAGGAGGGCAATTTGTTTACTGTAGTGGTAGAAATAGTGGTATCAAAGCTTGCTCTCCTTTTCAGCCAGATATGAATCAAGTTACATACTGTCTGATCCAAATGCAGTCGTGTATGTGATCAATCCCTAGCAGGCCTGGCAAAAAAGTAAAGTTTCTGTCATACTTGGTACAGGATGCAATTTCTCCAATTAGAACCTATTTGCTCAGAGTTGCTGGCTTTGTTGTCTAGGCTGTTTTGTAACAATTGTACAAAGTGTGAGCCCTAGTGCAGGCTGGAGTGAGGGCTGGGGCAGAGGTGGGGATGCTTCACGAAAAGCAACAGGCTCTACAACTAGTGCTGCTTCATGAGTCTCACAATGCGATGAAGTGAGTCTGTAGTGGCAAAAGCCAGATATTGACAACAAAGCCAGTCTTCCAGAATAATTCCACAGTCCCTCTCCAAGGACTTCTCTGCAAACTTGATCATCAGCAGCGTCCTTTTTATATCGAGCCAGTTCTGAAGTATAGCATCTCTCCGTGAGGGGTTGGAAGATGTACTGAGAGCATGGAACAAGTCCTCACGTGGGCCCCAAAGCAGACACTGAAGGATTCCTTTGGCTTCTGATATCAAGATCCTCTCCGAAGGGTTGGGATTCAGCAGGCAGCTGGCAAGTTGTTGAAGCCCTTGAGAGTAGAGGGAACGGCAAGGAATCTTGGGGAGATCGGCACAAGTGTACTCCTTCTCTTTCAGCTCTGGATTCTCATCAAAGGGGTTGGGTAAGTGCAGCATTTCATAGATGAGGATGCCAGTCTGGAACTCATCACACTTCTTGTACTGCGTTGCAGTGATGATTTCTGGAGCCAGGCGGGACTGATCCCGCAGGACCTCAGGATCCACCATGTGACTCTTCTGCTTGGCCTGGGAGAAGTTGCTCACAATTAATCTGGCCGGGCAGGCAGTGTTGGGATTGGGCTCTGTGGCCTCGGGGCTCAGGGGGCTGCCTCCCGGCCTGGAGTGAACCAGCAGCAGGTTCTCCAGGCGCAGGTCACAGTGGGTGATGTGGTAGGGCTTCAGGTGCTCGAGGCCCAGGCACAGCTGCAGGAGCAGCAGGCACACCTGTCTCTCGTACAGGTCGGGGCTCTTGCTGTGCCGGGCCGCGGAGTCACGCACGAAGTCGGCCACGGTGAGCTGCGGCACCTCGCGGGTGATCACCACCACGCGGCTGCGGGGCTTGCTCAGGGTGCCCTGCCTGCTGGGGCTGTCCCTGCACGAGGCCTCTGGGCTGCAGGCAGTGTCTTTGTTCTTCTGCTCAGGCTCTTTCTCCTCTTCCTCCCGCTCTTCTTCCACGTCCGCTGCGTCGTCATCCTCCCAGGGAAGGAGGCGCATGGGCACCTCGGCCAGGAAATGGCCACAGTCCTGCTGGATGTTGAAGTTGATAGCCAGGCTCTGCCGGATGGACAGGCTGTGGTAATACTGCTGGGACTCCTTAGCCTTGCTCTTACAGATCTGGGGGAAAACAAACACAACGGACATCATTCTTCAATTCCTAAATTCTGTATTTTTTTTTTAATATGTACTTTGCTGATGGGATTTCCAGTCTAGGTCTAAACACAATCAATGAACATTTTTTTTAATGAACTGATCTTGGCAGACTGTCTTAAGGCACCCAAACAGTTCTCACTGGCTGGTAAGCAACTGCAGAGCAATACATGCAGGCATCTGCACAGATGATCCAATGGAAAATACAATTCTGGTTTTTAATCAGAACAGCAGCTGGTACATGGTAAATGCACAGCAAAGCTTTTTTTACAGTTATTTGTTTACCTGTATCATTTTATTCCAATTTTATTCTCTCAGCTTTGTGTGAAGCTTGAACAAGATAAAAATAATCAATAGCAATAGGGGATACAAAGAAATATGCATAAAATATTTGACCAAACACTTGCACATGGCTGAGTGAGCATGGCACAACAAGTCAGCTGGGTGACTGATGTTTGCTCCTTGCCCATGGTAAGTGGAACTGAAATCCATGAGCTGCAGCAGTGCAGTGTGTTTGCACTGAGGGGGGCATGTGTGCATGCACAGGCTGCTGCCAGGCAGACTTGGCTCAGGTGATGAATGGACAATAAGTAGAACATGGTACCTTACTTGCTTTCAATCAATTATCAAGATCCAAAATATGGTTTGGTTTTTTGCCATATATACTGTATTTATGTCCAGAAGTATCTTGTTGATATATACATTATCAACATAGTAATTATCCTTATGAATTGTTTGCACTCCCATAACAACTGGCAGCTCCAACCTCTGACAGAAGTCACTGGACAAGCCCTGTTAGGGCCTCTGCTTCTAAGGCATTAAGTGATTAAAATTACAAAGACTCAGCTGTCTTGACCTTTGCATATTAACCTTCGTTCTACTAAATTCAGAGATCATTCACAGCATGTAAGGTTAGGTGTATGTTTTGATCTTTTACATGGTTAGAGTCTAAATATTCACTTGCTGTAATGCACCAACAGGTTTTAAGTGCAAAGCTCAGAGAAGAAAAAAGGAGGAAGTCATTTCTCTCCAGATGAAGCTACAGCTTCCCTTAGCTCATCTCTGGAACCAAGGAAAGCCAGATAACTGAGGTCAGCACTTGTTATACACAGTCACCACCAAGAAACCCGGATCTCATCCCAGCCCCAAATGTAAGCATTAGGTGACTTTTCTTCCTGTTTCTCATTTTTCCCCTTCTCAGAACTTCTGCAGCTAAGTTATAAACCTATCTTTCAGTAACACACACATAAATTTTTCATATTTTACATGCTTATGTGGCTAAGAAATATAAATGTGAGATTTAATCTTTTACGGTAGTTGATCAGAAAACTGCATTGTCAGATAACTACAGGAACCCAGACAAAATTTGTACCAGCATTCTGATTGTCCTCTTATCTTTGAGACTCTGCATATTTCCATACTTCACAAGCACTCACATTTCCCTACTCATTATGTACACGAAAACTGCCTGTTTGTAGCTGCCACAAACCCACAAAACTGATTTGAAAAACCCATTTTCTAGTCAATTTTATTTTATTTATGAGAGGAAATGCTGATCCTTACCCTGTTTATACAGTGGCTTTTGCTCACTTAAATTTTCAAATGTATTTTACCCTGTTAGAGGTGAAATGAGTTCTCAGTGGTATGTGTGCCCCCTGGTCCCTCCTCTCAAGGGTTATAGAGGCAAAAATATAGCAATAACCTTTGAATTATATAGAAAAAGAAAATGCTAGCTGATTGTCTTTGAGATTGAAGTCCCCAGATTGATTAAATACTTAATCCTGCACAGAAGACAGAACTAGAAAAGCTGTACAGACAGACTGATATATATGTGTTGAATTTATACACATGGTGTGTATCAAATCTGACTGGGAGAAGAGCTATTAAGGAAAACAAAATTGTTCCATCTTCTATGCCCTTTAAGTCCATGGCCTTTTTCTTGCACAGCCAGCTAAGGGAATACTCAATTCCAACTGCAGAAAAGGTTCAGCATGTTGTAATTCAGCCTTTAGTTTTCAAAAATACTTAAGTGACCTAATAAGAAAAAAACAACAAAAAACCTCATTCTGAAAGAGTTTAAAGTCAAGTTTACTTGCTGATAAAAAATGTTGAGAACCACACTTGGCCTTAGCTACTGCACTCTATTTCTTAATCCACAGAGGATTTCTAGTGCCACCAGTCAGCTAAAATTGATATTCTGCTAGGAAAATATAATCCACAAAGTATGTGCTCTGAAAACAATATACACATCTCAGTTTGGTGAATATAAGGCTTTTTTAAAAGTTTATGGAAAAGATTTTTCCTTGCCAACAAGAAAAGAAAAGCAAAGGAATCAAGACTTTTCCCTAGTTTCTAATTTTAGGCAGCCTCTTTTTCCTACTTCAGAGAATATTCTCAAATTTACTACTATTTCAGGTAAAGCTGGAGATAGGATCTGCACCTCTCAAAATCAGCTTTGGTACCCTCATTTTAGTAAGCATGGCCAACCCCAGACCTGTGAGAGTACAGAAGCACACTTTCATCCATGCTTTATGGATGTGGTGGTGCTTTCTTCTCTTTTAGAAATGGCTGGCCAAGCACATCTGCATCCAAAGGCACCCAGCTGTTGGTGCAGAGGATGTTTTCCCTGAGCCAGTGGCCTGCAAGGCCAGTCTCCTCTGTCTGGTCATCCCTGAGATGACCTCTCCAGCCTACTAAACCCACCCCAAAGCAGTTTTCCTTCTCTATCTTCTTAATTTTTCTTTCCACTATTCAATCCTAAATCAACTTCACTTCAAATTAAAGTGACAGCCCTTCTCCTTGCTGATTGGCTAAAAATTGATTCCTGATTCCCATCCTTGAATATGATACCTTTACAACTGGGGAAAATGCAACTTTTCCCATCTTTGTTTATTTTTGAAAATACCCAGCCCTTACTTCTCCTATCTTTGTTCCTAATCCTCTGATTTGTGTTGCTCTTTCTGGATTCTCCCCATGTATTAGATCTTTCTGAAGAGTGGTACCTATAATGAATTCAGTATTGCAGCTCCAGCATTCAGCAAAACAAAGCTTTGTGTCCAATGATCCTCTTTGCAGGATCCTTTTGTCAACTGTCCAAGAACACTTTGCAGGAAGAATAAGTTACATTACTAACTCCATGTGTGCTTCAAAACATTCAGAGCACTGTCCACTCTAAAGCAGGAAGCCACAGCAGGGCTAAACTTTCCCCAAAATCAGTTCTTAAATTTCATGAGGTCTTGCTTCAGACTCCTCTCCATATCAATAAAACAGAATTTAAGTTACCAACAAACCAGACATTAAATACTAAATAGAATAATGATTAAAACTGATACTAAAATGACTGCATTCATTAAAAGAGAATTTCCCTCCTTATTGTGCTGTTAAGGAATCTAACCAATATAGGGAAAAAATCTCTAATCCCACAAATGGCCAACAGTGATGGCTTTTGGACACTTCCAGCCCTCTTGTTTAGTACAGAGAAGTAGATGGGTACATGAACCTGCATTCAGTATCTACAAAGACAGGAGAGCTGGGATCTGATTTGAGATGTATTTTCTGCTTCTTGCTTTTTGTTTACAAACACCATGAAGTGAGAAGTGGAAGAGGCAGCTGGGTTATTTCAGGCTGATGAAACTGCTGACTACACAAACACAAAAATCTGTACACTGGGCACTCTGCAATTGTCGGGAGGAAGGGAAAGCTGGGAAGGGAAAGCAGCACCCAAACTCAGAGTGTGATAACAAATCAGACACCTGTCTGAATTCATAAAGCAGTTTCTAGAAGACAGACCTGCAGTAATCTGATGTTCCTGTAAGTGTCTGGCTTCTCTTCAGGTAAGTCTTGGGGTTTTACATTGCAAGATTCTTTTACATTGCAGGTTCTACTCAGAAGTCTACTTTATATTATGATTTTGCAATAGAGCAGTAAATACTGGTGTTTAATACCATGAATGGGTAATTATTCTCACCCAAGCCTTTTGTACTGGAATAACTCCACTATCACCTAAAACTACCATCTGAATGACAAAGATTTTAAACTTTCAAAATGGTTTGAGTTGGACTCAGTATTTACATTTGAAAAAAATTAGGGAAAAAATTGTGAAATTTATTGGCCCCCCTAGCAAGTATTTTCAACTGCTGGTGATGAATTGCTAAAGGAGTGCACACAGAGCTGCTTTTCTGCTTGTGATGGTTAATTCTGTGTCAAAGCTGGGAAAAAAATATATAGCCTATTTTCCTTTGCATTTTTAAAGGTTTTTTCTGTTCCAGTCATCTACTCAAAAAGATGGCAATCCTGTTGCCTTTTACATATAGAACATGCTGAATACCTGTTTTTTGGCACAGGAAGAAAAGGTGAAAATACTATGACTAAAGCACTAACACAGAAAGTAGGATCAATGAGTCATTTACTATTTGCTTTAATGAAATACATCCAGCTGAGCTATGAAGATATGGTATGTGATAACAGCTGAAAGGAAGGTGTTGATAAGGGCTTGGCCAGCCTTATTTCATGAGCTGATAAAGAGCTGGTTGCTCAAAAGATGAAGCAATGTTGGTGAAAACCCCTTCCATATGATGCAAGAAAGCAATGAGAAAAAAGGAGAGTACAAGTAGGAAGGAATGCAAAGTATCCAACTTCGTTTTCACTGGAATGCCCTGTCATCATGTATCTTTTCCTTAATGCATCCACATGAACTAAACATCTGTCACCTTTATAGGGACAAGGACAGGTTTCTTTATACCCTGCCATTTCAGTTTTCCTCTGTGCTCCCAGCCCAAGATGCAGGATTTGAACATTTCAGAGCTTCTACAAAATGTTCTGTGTTAGCTTTTCTTCTTCCTTTATGAGTGCTGTGGCTCACAGTGCCATCAGCTGACTCTCCCTTCCCCAGCAGGGAATCTCATTCCCACTCTGTCCCGTGCATTTCACACAGCAGCAGTGAACTCACAGCACCACCAGGATTGTGG